CCACACCCACTGTCCTTTTTTTGGAAAACTAAAATATGGTCACCCTACACTTACATAAAGTCATGTCCAATATCTTAACTTCTGTTGAACTTTTTGTTTCTCACTCTTAAATGTCCTTTTGCTTTAATTAAAGAACAATGCCTGAAATCTCTCTTTCTCTGTAGGAATGTTGTATATGCATACACTTGTCACAGATCATATTCTTTGAGGAGCACGCAGCTGGCATCGGAAAAAGGTGACTGCACTTAAACATAAGCGTGCATCTAATGCATCTGTAGCATGCCATAATAATATCTATATTTTAAAAATAAACTGTTACCTTTCAAACCCTGCAGTGCCAAGATTGTCATTCACCTGCATCCAGCCCCGGAAAATAAGGAGCCAGGCCCCTACCAGCACAGCAAGTACTCTTTTATAAAGCTGTCCTTCAAGGAACATGGGCAGATTGAGGTCAGTAACTTAAATATGAATTGCTTAATACAAAGAGCCGAATCGGCCATCACACAGATTGCCTTTAAAAACATATGAGACGCAGTGAAAAGGAATAAACATCCATAAACCATCCGTGTTTTCTAAAAGTTTAAACTTTTAACTTTGCATGGTGAGACGCGAGTGCAGCAGTCATATTTGTCTAAAAAAATGCGCTGAATTTGCGTTCTGTGTGAATGGCTTGGTTTCAGTTTTAACCTATTCAACATTTTCTACGCATTGAGCTACTATATTTCTCTAATATTTTGAATGAATAATGCAGCAACTGCACGTCTCGTGGGCTAGACTAACAAAACATTAAAATGCAGCAACGTCACATACAGCATCATCACCGCATCTCGTGCTCCACTGATGACGCTCCCTGACACCTAACATTTGATTGTACTATTTTTGCATTCAAATGCAAATGGTTATTTTAAATTTGACTTATATAATTTTTTTTTATTTACAATCTCCTCATCACAGGCAGGCACAGCACTCAATTCAGCATATGTTTGTGTGTGCTGTCTGCGTCACTCATAGCACGTGCCTATATCGTGCACTATATCGAACATTTTTTATATTGTTATCGAAGAAGGTGTACTGTCGATAAATATCAATACCTTTTTATCATCCAGGCCTAGTTGACTTTCCCCCGTGGGTTTGAAATGTTGCATAAATTACATTTGACTGAAATGCTTGTATTGAAACATTTTGCATTCTACCCAGGGACGTCGCTAGTAGAAAGGTGGTGACGAATACAATTATAGGGGCCCACGGCTGTGTCGGTGTCCTTAATGTTAATCCAAGAAAATAAAAGAAAGAAAATCACTCACTGCTCTTGACTGAATAAATTTTTAGTTTTAACAAGACCTAGCCTAATCTATATTTAATTTATACAGTGAAGACTGTGCAGTGCTATTTTACATTTGATTATTCGGTTAAATTGTTTAATTTCTATCTTTGTTCTATTTATTTATTTGTGCTATTTACACGATTTCAAACCGGGGCCCCACAAACCCCAGCTACGGCCCTGATTCTACCTATGATAAAACTGTGCTAGATGTTAAGTTTTGTGAATTTAAAAATAAACTGTTACCTTTCAAACCCTGCAGTGCCAAGATTGTCATTCACCTGCATCCAGCCCCGGAAAATAAGGAGCCAGGCCCCTACCAGCACAGCAAGTACTCTTTTATAAAGCTGTCCTTCAAGGAACATGGGCAGATTGAGGTCAGTAACTTAAATAGTGATGTCACAAATATTTCAACTGAGATGATGATGCATAGATTAATTCTGCTTCCACGTACATAGAGCTTATTACTCCACTAAATCTGGCTTAATACAGTTTGAAGCATGTACTATAAACAGTCATGACATTTAGCGAGGAACGGAGCAGAAGTGTTAGAAAGGTGTAAATAAGGGAACTTGTGCTGTGTTTGGTGTGTAGTTTTACAGACGTCTAACTGAAGAGATGACTCAGAAACGATGGGAGAATACACCTGTCTTACAGCCCATCCCCACAGGAATAGGACCCAAGGTTAGTTAAAACTGAAACTTTGAATGATATATTAACAACTGGGTTTTGTTTTGTTATTTCATTGTTTTTTTAAATAATAGCAAATGTTATTATTTTGTATATATTTATGCATTGAACAGTTATTATAATTATCCAGTGTTATTTTAGTATTTCTATGTATATTTATTAGTATATTTTAGTTATATTTATTAATATTTTGAAATATCTTTTATTATTATACTTTTACATTCCATTTTAATTTTAGTTTGTTTTAGCAGATGTGTTACGTACTTTTATTATTTTAATTAGTTTCATTTTAATATTTCTAATTGGCTTTAATTTTAAATTAGCTTTATTTTTTTATTAGGTCAGTTTTACTTTTAGTGATTTTACTAAAATAATTTTCACTGAAATAAGTCAGAATTATTTTAGTACTTTAACATCAGTTTATTTCAGTTAGTTGCCAAAGCATCATTTCTAATGTCATTTTTTCATCAAATATTAATATTTATATTTATATTACATTTTATTTCAGTTTTAAGTTGCCAAAAATTGTTTAAATAATTTTAGTTTTAACTAACAATAACACTGTAGCTATATATTTTTAATAATTATTATTATTTTGTGAATTGCTGAATAATGCAAGCATTAGCAGTTGATATTGTTTTCAATTAATGACATGATTTATTTAATTTATTTTATTAACTTAAGTTTAATAAAATTGCTATTTTCTTACCATATATATATAAATAACTAAGTTGCATCAGCACCAGATACAACTGTGTCAGCAGTTCTTAACTGGAAAATAGCATTAATTATTTTAAATAAATATTCATACTGGTGGCCGCTAGTCAGTTATCTACTCTAGGGATCTGATGACACTTCAGAATAAAATAAATCTTTGTGAATTGCCTGTTAATTCTGTTTTGAATGTCCCTATTACATCCTCAAGGTGGCACTGTAATGATGTTATTTGCAATTTGTCATTTGTGCTGTTTAAATATTTACAAAATGTTGTTTTACCTTTGATATGTTTATTTATTATATATTATAGATATCTTTTTTTTTTTTTTAAGTTTGTATCTTGTAAAGAACAAGCCGTGGCCCTGAAGCAGTAACCCCTGGGCAAACCCTTTCCTTCCTGTTCCTTTGTTATTTGTTTGCATGTTTTTTTAGTTATTGTTTGTGCGTGTGCATGTTTAACAAAGAGAGAGGCTCATTTTTTCTCTCCTGCTCTCTGTGGTCCTGTAGGCAGGAAGAACACGTGCAGTGGGGATTGTGGGGATTGAACGGAAGTTGGAAGAGAAAAGAAAAGAGACCGATAAAAACATTTCTGAGGTAAGAAAGAGAAACAGACTGACAGGTAGTCATATCTAACATACAGCACTGGGATACCAGCCTGAGATAATCGGGAAAGCTGTGGGCGCCATGGCCCCCTTTTAAGAGGCCCCTGATGTTGATAGAAAGTGGGACCCTGTTTTTAATGCCAGATGACCTCATAGCTCTGATTAGCTTCCTGGCACAGCTATAATGGAAGATAAAAAGAGAGTGCACAGCGGTGGGATATCCTGTTAGGTGTGGGCACACCCAGTGATTTACAGGTGATTTCGGCCCTTGATAAAGAGGCGTTTTGGATGTCATTTCTTTCATGTTTTTATTCTAACATCTCTCTTTTCTTTCAGGCCTTTGAGGATCTCAGTAAACTGATGGAAAAGGTCAGTTACTCAGTAGGTCTGTGGGTTGGCCTGTTATCCTTCACAATACAGCCATGGTCAAGTTTATTGGTCTTGATTCAGCTAATCTATATCTTTCCCTGCAGGCCAAAGAGATGGTGGAGGTCTCCAAATCCATTGCCAACAAAATCAAAGACAAGCAGGGTGACATCACAGAAGATGAGGTGAGCTTAAAGACCCTGAGGTGCTTGGTTTTCTGAAGCACCAGTGTTTCATCATGTGATTGGCTGAGATATTTGACATTAGCCAATCGTTAATCAAATACTGGATTTTAATACATTACTGTTCAAAAGTTTGGGGCAGTAAGATTTTTTTATGCTTCTGAAAGAAGTGTCTTATGTTGAGCAATCCTTCAATGTGATAAAACAGTAATATTGTAAAATATTATTACAATTTAAAAGGATTTCGGCCCTTGATAAAGAGGCGTTTTGGATGTCATTTCTTTCATGTTTTTATTCTAACATCTCTCTTTTCTTTCAGGCCTTTGAGGATCTCAGTAAACTGATGGAAAAGGTCAGTTACTCAGTAGGTCTGTGGGTTGGCCTGTTATCCTTCACAATACAGCCATGGTCAAGTTTATTGGTCTTGATTCAGCTAATCTATATCTTTCCCTGCAGGCCAAAGAGATGGTGGAGGTCTCCAAATCCATTGCCAACAAAATCAAAGACAAGCAGGGTGACATCACAGAAGATGAGGTGAGCTTAAAGACCCTGAGGTGCTTGGTTTTCTGAAGCACCAGTGTTTCATCATGTGATTGGCTGAGATATTTGACATTAGCCAATCGTTAATCAAATACTGGATTTTAATACATTACTGTTCAAAAGTTTGGGGCAGTAAGATTTTTTTATGCTTCTGAAAGAAGTGTCTTATGTTGAGCAATCCTTCAATGTGATAAAACAGTAATATTGTAAAATATTATTACAATTTAAAATAACTGTTTTCAATTAGAATATATTTTCAAATGTTTTTTTTTTATTCATGTGATGGCAAAGCTGAATTTTCAGCATCATTGCTTCAGTCTTTAGTGTCACATGATTCTTTAGAAATCATTCTAATATGCTGATTTGCTGAAGAAACATTTCTTATTATCAATTTTAATAACAGTTTTACGGATTAATATTTTTGTGAAAACTGTAATGCGTTCTTTGATGACTAGAAAGTTCCAATGATCAGCATTTATTTTAAATAGAAATCTTTTTAAACAGTGTAAAAGTCTTTATCACTTTTGAATAATTTAATGCATCCTTGCTGAATAAAAGTATTGATTTGAAAAAAAAAAGTTACTGCCCCAAATATTTTAAATAGCAGTGTATACACATATGAACTTGTAAGAAGAGCCTTTTTATAAGGCTGTTTCCTCCTCAAAGTCTATTACTGCTTTGATCCTGCTTAAGTTAATAGGCTTTCTTAGATTACATGTAGATAACAGCTGTTATATTTATTGTTATAGCTAAATGTTTTGTTTTATTTGGCCTCCATATGCACAGATATGCTTCTAAAATGTCAGATACCAGTCCTTCTCTCTTCAATAAAACAATACATTCGATTATGTACCTTTGTGTCATGTTCTCTGGCTCAGTGGAGTGTCTATAAATCCAAAGCTTGGCAAACATTGGCAGTGTAATCCACACAGAGCTCAGAAATCCCGGTCGCTCGCAACATACACTTTGTACAGGGACATCGAGGGCAAGGAAATGAGACAGTGACATAAATAGAACCTAGAATTGAGCTGAAAAGCAGCCAGGATTGAGATCCACCATGTTTCTTAAATGCAGCATTGCATCCAAATAGACACAAATATTTATTGCACAGAAAATTACCAGTTATTACAGAAGTCCACAATCAGACGAGGAAAAACTTTGCCGCATCTAAAAATGAGTTGATGTGTTTTGTTCCATCTGTAGAAATTTCACAGAAGTTCACATGCTAAAATTGGAGTTTCTCAGCATTGATAGTAGCCTATAACGGCCAGGCTTGCTCATTCTTTCTTATATTTAGTTAGTGTAGAGCTGCAATTAAATTTGTCATGTTTGTTTTGTGTGCCATCCGACAGACTATCCGCTTCAAGTCTTATTTGCTGAGTATGGGTATAGCCAACCCAGTGACCAGAGAGACACACGGCTCAGGCACACAATACCACATCCAACTCGCCAAACAGCTGGGAGACATGCTGCAGGCCCCACTGGAGGTAACTGTGTGTTTTATATATTTCTAGTGCTTATCATCAATCTGCTTTGCATGGCCACATGCATATATACACCACTGTTCAAAAGTTTGGGGTCAGTAAAATTTTTGATTGAAAGAAATTAGGAGTCAATACATTTATAATACTACAAAAGGTTTCTATTTCTTGTAAATGCTGTTCTTTTGAACATTTTGTTCATCAAAGAATCCTTAAAACAGTGTATCACGGTTTCCACATCAATATAAAGCAGCACAACTGTTTTCAACCCTGATAAAAAGAAGAAATTAATAAAGACACTGAAGACTTCACTGAAATTCAGCTTTGCCATCATAGAAATAAATTACATTTTTAAATATATTAGAATAAAAAAAGTTATTTTAAATTGTAACCTTGGTTAGCATAAGAGACTTCTTTTAAAATCATTAAAAAAAATTCTTACCAACAGCAAACTTATGAACATGTTATGTTTAGGTGTGGTAATTTCATGTTTTGTATGTCTTCACATCTGTTTCTCCTCATTATGCAACTCAAATAAATATTTCATAACTATTTGTTGATTTTTTTTGGGGGGGGGTGAGTAGCTGTGTATTAATTATGATAACATAAAGTTAGCTGATCATTATCTGAAAATCATCACCTTGTTGGGGTTTAATTTGCAATAATATCCAGATGACTATACATTCTGTCATACTTGGTGATATTATCTTTCTTTGTTATTCTGCCTCTCTATAGGAGCGTGGAGGAATGATGGCCCTCACTGAAGTGTACTGTTTGGTGAACAGAGCCCGTGGTATGGAGGTATGATGAAGCTGGACACATCAGTGTGTCTTGTCATTGAGTTAATCAGATCTGATCCTGATCTCCTTCCCAGCAGCATTAAGAGTGAAGCTGATGATGGCACAACCATTTGGAGAGTAGAGAGAAAGCTCTCACTTTAAATGCGAGTGTGATGCATTGGTTTGGTTTGCATCTATCAGAATATTGACAGCAAAGTTATTTCAGGTTCTAAAATGTCATGTGGTATAGTCCCCAAAAAAGTATTTCTTTAAAAAAGAATCATAATGTTCATTACACCAAATACACAAAATAATGTTCTTATTAGCAACATCATATGACCCCTTTAAAACCTTTTTAATGTGTACACACACATTAAAAAAAGTGTAAGGAAAATATCTTTAGGGTTATTTTTTTGAATATACATAAATATTTATGTAGCTCTATGGTTAATTTTTTTTTTTAAACATTCTGGATGGATCTTCTCGCAAATTTCTTCACAGCTTCTCTCTCCAGAGGACTTAGTCAATGCCTGCAAGATGTTTGAATCACTGAAGCTTCCTCTACGGTAAGGGTGTGAGCATTTTGATTTGTGTGTGTGTTTGCGTGTGTAAAAGTGAGCAAATGTGGATGTGTCTATGTAAGCCAGTCTTTGTAGGCTGAAGGAGGTCAGCGTGGGATCGGTCAGCCACTTCCTGGCAGACTTCCTGTTTTCAGGACCCATGTCCGCCCTCTGTCTGTTGGCTGCATTTTCCACCTTTCAAAAGAAAACAACCATTTGATTCACAAACCACAATTAGGTTGCATACAGTTCGATTACGAAGCAGTTGGGTTCTTAAGCAACCAGCAACATAAACATAATTTTCATTCCCTGTCAGGTTGCGAGTATTTGACAGCGGCGTGATGGTGGTTCAGCTCCAGTCCCACAGTGAAGAGGAAATGATTGCCTCAGCTCTAGATAACGTGAGTGCCGTGCCATCATTTTCCCCCATCTGTGAAATCACTTATGTGGCCATTCAAACATCATGCAGCAACTTCCTGTCATGTTTAATTACAGGTTCGTAGAGTGGAAATTGGATCAGATTTATAACCACAAACTTGTACAGCCAATTTCTTCCTCTTCTATTAAATGGTTGTGGTTAGGAGAGTGAGAGAAGTTTCCCGTTTCATACTCCTAGAAATTGCATGAAATTAACCACCGTCAAAGTATTTTTGGACAAGACACAGCTAGCAGATGTGACTGGGGGTGGAGTTTTAGGTCAAAGATCTGGAAGGAGAGGCGTATCAGATTAGAAATTTCCATCCCTGAAGAGTCCAAGACAGATGTGGTAAAGGAGAGGAATGTTCAAAAAAACAAAGCAAGAATATTTGAAGATCATTTGACATGAGTTGGCAATTATTGCTCTATTCATATTGAATCAGCCATTAAGTTTGGTGTATATACAGTACAGTAGGTGAATCTCACGAAACCAGTCAAGATCACACCTGGGTCATATTTGACACTAAAATAAGAATAAGAAATTAGATTTTGCTTAAACAAAGCCGATTTTAGAACCATTAAAATATTTTGCATTGTAGAATTGTTTTCCACCAAAATTGTTATTGTGATGCCAAAAATGACAAAATCTTTTTTATTGCGTATGATTTGGAAGAATTATTATGATTATATAGAATTTAATATATATTTATATTAGTGCTGTCAAAGGATTAATTGCGATTAATCGCATCCAAAATAAAAGTTTGTTACATAATATATGTGTGTACTGTGTATATTTATTATGCATATATGTAATAAATATACACAGTACCCAAACATTTATTATGTAAACAGAAGCTTTTATTTTGGATGCGATTAATCATTTGACAGCAGTCACAGCACTAAGTGATAAAAATACAAATCAAACCAATTTCATTAGCATATAATTTATTTTCTTTAAGAAAAATAAAATAAATTAAAATGCTTAAGTGCATTATTATTATGAGTATTTTGGGCAAGAAATTTGCTTAATTGTCTTTTAAAAAATGAAATTCAAAAATAATTTAGTTCTTATAAATAATTAGAAGAATTTCTTCAACTTTTTTCCTTTTAATTCTAGTGTGAGAAATTTGCTTTATAAACTCACTGTGACACATTTATCTACTCAAAACATAGTATTGTATATTTTTAGCTTTGGCAATTCCCCCAAACACAGAGCGGTGGTTTTGGTGGGCATCCATCTGGTTTAATTGAGGTTTCCTTCTCTTTTTCCTCCCCCAGGTGTCTGATAAAGGCTCCCTCACAGCCGAAGAGTTTGCCAAGTTGTTGGGACTGTCAGTTCTCCTTGCTAAAGAAAGGTACAGGAGACATCCTTTTCCTTATTTCATCAATAATTCATCCCACAAGTGTCTTCTCGCTATTTTGATGTATTGCTCTCCTTTACAGGTTGTTACTAGCTGAAAAAATGGGTCACTTGTGCCGAGACGATTCGGTAGAAGGTCTGCGTTTTTATCCCAACCTGTTCTGACGCATGAAGCCGATATGTTATCGAACCCGGCTGGCTCTCAGCTCCTGCTGGCCCCGGATCCCTCTCAGAACTGATAACTGATTAGCTCTCGCTCTGGACACAAGTGGGCACCAACTTTCCACTGTGTTTGTCAATAGGGTCTTTCATGAATGTTGGTTAAGGTACTTGCGTACGTTACAGCATCTGGTTTTTTTTTCTGAGTCTAACATGTTTAGTTATTTCCACAGCCTATAACGAAAAGGGGATGACAGAAATGATTATGAGGATGCAGAGGACAAAGTTCGTTGTTGAAATCAGTTATGTTGATATTGTGTGTGACTCCAGCGCATATTCAATGCTGTCAGATTGTCCATAAAAATATGTGTGCATTATGCATCAAACTGTGTTGTAAACACATGAGAAAGAAGGTAAGGAAAATTTTTAATTAAAATAAAAAAAATAAAATAAAAAAAAGCCAGAATAACCAGAAAATTCTAAACATCAAAATAATAATTCAGTGACACTTTTGTTGAGAGCAATCTGCTTTTCCCCTTATGGAAGCATAAATTCTTCCATACTTATTTTGGACTGTTGTGTAAAAATAATATTTTTTAAAAAACATTTTCTCTCTTTGGGTTTTATTTCATGTGTTCATTTATCTTTCTTGATTATTTCTAGTGTCTTATCACGTTTCATTGGCGTTTTTTCATTCTGCTGTATTATATCAGATGCTTCACCAGCGTTGTTTGTCTTTTATGGCACTAATTGCTAGTACTGAGGAATTATGTTGTTTTTCTAAGGTCTTTCCATGGAAGCATGTGAGCCAGTAATGACAACTGCGATTACAATGAGTAGACTGTTCCTAAATATAGTTTAATATATTAATGAACTTAAAATTTTGCCTGAAATGCCAAGCTCATCTTGAGACAGACCTCCCCGTTGTGAGGAGATTTATTGAGCAGATGATTCACCGCCAACCTCTGACATTTATGTTTGGTAACATTAAATATAGTAGCTAATTCGCTGTATTTATAGAGAGCCTTGGATTCACATTGAAAATGTATAATATGCAGTTCTTCACAATTCGTTGGCTAGACTCAAATACTAAATAGATTTTTGTGGAGACCAGACCGCATCCTTACTTAATTTCCCTAATACCGCCGGTAGAGGAAGCAAGGGAGCTCGCGTTCACTGTCGCTCAGTCTGGAGCGTACCTCAGAGCGTGACGTTCATTCATTAACGCTTAAAAACAAAACTCACGGTATCGTGATGCCTTTCAGCCCGACCAGGATACAAGAACATAACGGTATTCATCCGACTCAATGTCATATGTAAGTAAAATACTTTTATCATCTACCTCTATACCTTTATTTACCTTTAATTTTAGCATTTAAGTGTAGGATATCGACAGGTTTTGTTTATACCTGTAAGAAGTGTAATGCAAGTTTTTTTTTTTTTTTTATTTTGTATAAGTTCAAGAGTACAGATATCTGGACAATATGAGTAGTAAGTCTACAACATAAAGTAATAGGAATTTGAACGTTTAGAGTGTTCAAATCAGTATTGTGCCCCAGCAACATTATAACATTACTATTTATACATTTATTATACAGAATTTTATTTTATAATAGAATAATATATAGTATTTTGTAATAATTCTATATTTATAATAAAATATAATGAATACAGATTATATAGCCTTGCTCAGTAATGTTTGGATTGATAAAGAAAAAAATAAAAATCAATAAAAGCCATTGTGTGTGTGTAGCCTGTATTTTATTAAGTGTAACCTATTATGTATATGTACGGAATAGTCTATACTATGCGTTAAAATGTGAGATTATCAAGAAGATATTCAAATTCATTTTTCCACCTTACCAATTGATAGTCCAGTGAAAGAGTTAGGTGATTGCCAAAACAAAAAGTGTGGTATGGAGAATGAACATATTCATATCTTGTATCTTACTGAATTTGATCTGTGTCAGGACAGAGTGAAGAACAGTGGATTGGGGTGATGTGGACAAAGAAAGATAAGAGGCCGCAGAAGTCGGAATGACACAGGGCTTCCCTACAGCGACCCTATTTGTGCTGCTCTTCCTGATGGGATTTGGTGAGAAGATGTCCTTAGATTTTAAAGAACAGTTTATCCTGGAATTTAGTCAAGTCAACTTTATTTGTATGCCAAAGCAGCTTTATGGAAAATTATGCCTTAATGCCGCGAGCATGCAAACCATAGGTGACTTTGGAAAGGAAAGGAACTCCAAACCTGCAATTCAACAGGTGTAATAAAACTATTTAGTTCTCATTACATCCGCAGGAATCATGACAACGGCACAAATGTTCAGTTATATAATCCAACTTTTCTGCTTCTCATGCAAAATAGAGTTTAAATGAAGGTCAGTGATTGGCAGTTTCAAGTGCATCGTGGTAAATCTAGTTCAGTTGGAGAGGAAAATGTAGGGAGGGGGAAGGGAGGGTCACTGACTTTTCCTGCACTCTCTTCCCCTGGATGTATTTGTTTTTTCTGCAGGAAGTGACCCACACACACAGCATTTGTAAATCACAATGCCTCTTCAAGTTCTTATACTGCGGGAATAGACAACAGTGCTGTGCAGCAGTAGAACTTAAACTTGAAAAATTCTGTGAGAATTTATGTGTTTCAAGTGTTGCATTATTAAGTATAATGAAGTAGTATAGTATTTACATATGGCTTCAAATGCACAACCTTAAATCTACAGTAATATTAGAGATAAACCATAAAGTCTAATCTAGGTATGAAACAATTGACCAATTTAGTTGAAGTCATGACCTAGTGGTTAGCACATGTGCTTCGTCACAATGGGCTGTGGTGCATATATTGGTAATGGTGAGTTTGCGTATTCTAAAGATCACGTTCCTCCCTTTTCTCCATATTATTTTCTGTCCAACAGACAGTCATTGTCAATAAAAGTAGCAGAAAAGCCAAAAAGAAGAGAAGAAATACTGTGAAATTTCTTCCAGGCCTGTAGTTGGCAGTCTTCTAATGTTTTTAGCAATCAGACTTAGTTTTTCACTGGCAGAAAATAAGAGCGGCAAAAACTCCTAAACCAGAGCAGGACCACAACCATAGAGACTTGAGAGTGGGCTCTTTAGTGTTTGACCAGTAAATACCACCTACAAACCACACAGAACATTCTTGTAACAGTATAACTACATGCTAACAACCACACAGAATCTATAGCTAAAGGAAACCACTCACCCAACTTCATGACAATAAGTTGGCAAATATCCAAAATGTTCATCAAATTTTAGTTCAATCAAGTCTCTTGATTGATTTTCATTTATATTTTCTTTTTTTTTTTTGTATAGCAATGGCTGGTATCCATCTCTGGCCATCAATGCACATCGCCTTGAGCAATGCCAGTGTGTTTGTGGATTACAACACTGAAAGCAACTTCACCGACCACAGGCTGACAGTGTCATTGATTGACATCGACAGGAATGTTACAGTACTCTCCAGGTCACTTCCCCTTAACCAACCAGATGGGTCACTGGAGTTCAACTGCTCTTGCTTCCTGTATGCGGGTTATTTCAGATTCCGACTGGAGCAGAAGCACAACCTTGGTGTGTCTAACAGGAGTGCCATCTGGTGGTGGAGTCCAGTTCTGCATGTGCACTGGCCCACCTTTCACCTGGCTGTGGATCGTGGCAGCAACAACCGGAGCTCTAATGACTTTAGGATTGGAGTGTACACTAACGACAACTTCCATCCTTGTTCGAGCAACAAAGCTTCAACTCTCTTCCTTGACGTCAGCTACCTGGAACAAGTCCAGGTAGGGAGGAACACCTTTGAGAAGGTGCAGAACCGGATAAGACACAATATCAAAGTAGTTAGGTCACAGCATCTGGAGATGCCATGTGCATCCCCTCTGACAGAGCGTGGCTTCATCCAGATTTCCCTAAAATCCCCTCACATCCAGGAAGACATCAAATCCTCTGGTCCTCTTTACCTGTCCAGCATCTTCTCCTACAAGCTTGTTGTAGATAACATTTACAAAAGTGGCTGTGAAGGAACCATTTCTGTTCGTCGAATTGCTCCTCCCTGTACAGTTACAAATGGAAAAGTTCTGCTTTATAAGGAAGAGAGTAATGACATGGCTGCTCCCTCTCAACTGGCCTTCAATTTCCTCACACAAGGGGAGAATGAGACTGAGTTTAACTGCTCCATCTTTGACCCTGGCAGGAAAAAGTACTGCTTCCATTTCACACTCGTCTACAGTAAGGCTCCCAGTTTAGCCCACACCTGTGTGATTGTGCAAAGACATACAAGTGAGTTTGCTTTTATCAGTTGAGCATGTACAAAAAATAACTAATTTAATCTGGAATTAGCATTACTGATTTGTTCTTAATTTTATGTTTTAGGCCTGACAGAATCACACTAGGTTGAATAAAGCAACCTAAATGCAAACATTCATAATTATTTTTATTTGCTAATTTCACTAACTAGTGGTGAATACTAAGGCATTTATCACTATTGCTGTTGTTTATACTTAGGATTAGTGATTTGAACCCCTAACCCAGGGGTGTCCAGTCCTACTCCTGAAGGGCCACTTTCCAGCCAAGTTTGCCTCTAGCCCTAATTAAATTTACCTGAACAAGCGAATCAAGGTCTTCAGGATCACTAGAAACTTCTTGGCAGGTGTGTTGGAACTAAACTCTGCAGGAAGGTAGCCCTCCAGGAGCAGCACTGGACACCCCTGCCCTAACCTCTAACCCTAAGTATTAAACATAGTATTGCAACCAGCTAACAATTGCCCAGAACACTCTGAAAATGCCTTAGAAACACCTTGGCATCTTAGCAAGGATTTTGATAGGAAAGCATCATTTACATTTTCTTGAGACAAAATGTACTCTTTTTTTATGTATTTCTTCTCTCTGATATGTATCATTGCTCTAAAGGAATGTGGGGACCATGGCAGCCATGGAGTGGTTGTAGTGTGACATGCGGAGAAGGGGTGCGAGAGCGTGTTCGTGAATGTCTGCTGCCCTCTAGTGGTGGGATGCAATGCACTGGCATGGTTAGAGAGCAGTCACACTGTTCACTGGAAGATTGCACTGGTAAGCATTTTACTGTTTTTATCTATTTATTTTTTTGTTTTCAGAACCAATTATTTCAGAATAAACTCCATTCTGTTTTTTCTTTATGTAGAGGAGCTTCCGCCTCCACCCCTCACCCCTCCACCAGCTGTGAGCTCACCCCTAACTGGGAATCTAGTGGTAGTGGCTGGGATCTCCCTGTGCCTGGCTGTGATCCTGGCCACTATCTTTATCACAGTGTGGAGAAAACTCTGCCGTGCTCCAAAGTGCAGCTCCATGCGCCGTGGCTCTCTGCACTCTCCCAGCGGTCGGAAGAACTCTGATGAGGCTTCTATCTGTGGTCACAGCATGCAGAGACCCAGTTTCTCAGAAAGTCTCCAGGCAGCTCCCCTCCAGAAGGGACTTACCTTGCCTGCAAAGCAGGGACCTTCGGACCGAGGTGTGTTGGCTCGTCAACAGAGCATGTCCCTTCCTCTTCCTCTTTCTCAAGACCCAGAGAGGATGTCT